TGTGCAAAGGGGAGCAGTGCTGCTCTCCAGCTGCTGGACGCTCCCGAGTGGCACAAGAGGGAGCCTCTGGTCCAGCGCTCCAGCACAGGTGCTCCTGTGCTGGGGTGGATTTCATCCACACCATCGGGTGGGCGTAGCTTCATGTGTGTTGCAAGGAACTTACTGGCTTTTCTGTGCTCTTCTTCCCTTTCTCAAGGATGAAGCCAGTGAGCAGCAGCAATGACGTGGCTATGGATGCCTTAGATTTTGATCGAATGAAACAGGTGAGTGAAAAGGTCTTTCGCACGTAAGAGATTTGAAGAGCTACCCATTTTCCCCCATGCATGCGCCGTACAAGCAAAACAGCTGTTCAGTCTTCTGATTTCCTCTATAACTAGGTGCGTAGAGAAGGGCTAGCTGGTGAGCAGCAAGAGAGCACAATCTCACTGCTATTTGAGCAAGATGTCTGTACAGAAATGTGCAAATAAATATGCCAGCATCTTCTGCATCCTTGGCCTGGGAGTGCAGACATAGCTGTTAGTAGTGCTAGGCTCTGATCGTCAGCGGAGGCGGGGGACAAGCACAACCGTATTAAACTTGCATTTTCTTCCACCAGTTAGAAGGAAATTCTGAGCAGCTGACTTGTGTTTTGTCTCATCAGGAAATATTGGAGGAAGTTGTAAGAGAGTTACACAAAGTGAAAGAGGAGATAATTGATGGTAAGAAAGAGAAAAATCATTATTTTTCTCATCTTTATGACTAATTTTCTGTAGATAAGATGATAGGAACTGCAGAGAGTTCCCTGGTGTTTTCAGACTTCTCTGAGCAGCTCTGATTTATGTACACATTTGAAGAACAAGCATCTACCTTATCTGAGCTCTGATCACGACATTGTGTTTACATCCTTTATTTTTAGGCTGTTGACAAGTATTTTCGCCCCCAACCTGTGAGAAATTCAGTGGACAATGTTTCTCACAGGTGGAGGGTGAGAAAGGGCCTGCTCGTAGCCCATGGCATGTCAATTTATCAGTCAGGGAGCGTGAAATCACTTGTAACTAGCCAGCCACACAGGTCCGGGATGAGGAGGGGACAAAGGTACCAAACTGAAAATCCTGAGCGTTTTCTGTAGGCTTTCTATGCTTGAAGAGCTATTTCAGACCTTCACTCAATTACAGCTTTCCAAATAGCCATGTATTTTTACAATTAATTGAAAAGTACAACATCTGTACTAAATGTATCAGTGCTTTTTTATAAATTGCTCTGCAATGTATGACTAAATGTATTTTTCAGGGCCATTATTGAAATGCACAGCAAAATACCTATTTGAAGCCCGCATTAGGGCATATGAAGATGCATGTCCACACCCTGCACTCCCCATCTTAGATTCACACAGAAGTGGAAAAAGAGGAGACTGTAAAACAGCTAAAATCCATTCCCTGTCCCCTTGCCCTAGACCTGTGTGCTCACAAAACCTCGGGACAGTTTGCAGTTGAGGAGACCCTCGCCTGTACGCTACCGTCCCAGCAGCTTGGCCCTCAGAGCCTCCCTAGTTCATTCCAGTGCAAAATAAGACAGTCATATAAACCACAGGTGCAACTTCTTAAACCAGTACTGCAGTTTGCAAGCAAACAGCTGACTGCTTACCCTTACTCATCCTTTTACCTTCCACTCATCCTTTTACCAGCGTGTACTTTCTGCAATCTCTATACTTAGCATTTTCCATCACACCGGGTATAACATTATGCATTAACTTTCTGGTTTGGTTTTCTAGCCATACGGCAGGAGTTGAGTAGAATCAGTACAACATAATGATTGCAAAGCATTTGGACGGTACTAAGAATGCTAGGAAGATCGGATTATTTCTAAGAGTACCAAGGTCATGCAAGATGGTGAGAGAGGACACCGGCACTGTCTTTGTTCTTATACCCTTTTTATTAGCAGACTCAGCACACTTTGAAGCTTGCTGCTGCCTTGGATTCGCTTCATTTTAAAAGTCTTAATCTAAAGAATATTAAATTTTAAATTTCTGGATTTTTTAGATTTCATCTGACACTGCACATTGGATTTGTCAGCCTTTTTTGTATTTTGTATTTGCTTATTTAAATGTATTACCTTTCTTTTTAGTAGTAGATAAGAACACACGTGAACCATTTGCTTTTGATAGATGACTTCAAAGTAATTTTACTAGTAGTCTGCAATGTAAATGAAGATCCTTTGCCAACAGAAATGTATTGTGGCATCACCAGAAGAAACAGAGACATGTTAGTTGTCAGCCAACAAGTTCTTTGTCTCAGAGTTATCACAATATAAAAAAATGGTACGTCAGTGCATCACAGTATCTGTGTTCATATTGGTAATAAACTGTTCATTGTCCACATGGCCCTGCCTTTCTTTGTTTCATTCGTCCCTCGAGCTCTCACACTTCTATGTCACTTGGGTTGACGATGAGAGGAAGGTGACCGAGAGCCACCGTGGAGTGGCAGCTCTGCCCGGCCAGCGCCGCCGAGCACGAGGAGAGAGCCTGAGCATCTGGGGGTGGTGCGATGGCAGCAGCCCTGCCTGCCTTTACAGGGAGATGTGGCTCTCACCTGCCCGGCCCCTCCTCGCATCGCCGGCTGAGCACCAGCTCCTGCAGTCAGTGTTGTTGCAACCTCAGCAACGTTTTGTCAGGGAAGGACAGTGGCTTACAGATCTTCTTAGGCCACCACTAATGTCCCACTGCGTCTCCTGTCATCACTGAAAAAACAGGTCCCATCACCTGCACTCATAAGGGCTCTCAGTAAATAAAAGGGAGGTATTTATGCAGAAGGAGGCTACCGAAGGCATTAGGAGGAGGCAAGCTGTAATCGCTGGCACAGCACTGCTGAACGAGAGGTTTACGGGGGGTCATTTGTTAGTAGCTCACGTTTCATTTGTTAATGTTGTGCAGGTCTTGAGCTTTATTTCACAGAAAGTAAAGTCAAAGAAATGAGTACAGGACACCAAACAACAGCGCACACCCAGTCATATCTTTAAGGTCACACAATTTTTTTCCTTCAGAGCCATTCTTTCCACTAGTGCAATCTTGGGAATTTCTTCTTGACTCAGTTTGGTGCAAGCTTTACATGGCAGTAGTCTTGATACCATCTTCTTGATAACTTTGTGCAAAAGGCGAGAGATTGGAGTTCAGCTATTGAAATCTCAGACTTTTTCCAAGCCCCCAGTTTTGCTTCAGGCCATACTGAAGATTGTGTTTTAAAAGCCAGGCCCCAGGAATAGTTTTGGGAGCAGAGCCTGGTGCAGCAGCCCAGGAGGGTCTGTGGCTGTCCCGTTGCTCGTGTCCCCCAGACCTTCCCCGAGCACAGCAGCAGGCAGGAGGGACTGCCAGCCAGCAACAGGAGACCCAGGAGAGGAGGCAGAGCGGGCTGTGCTTTGCACTTAGTTGTGAAATGTTACCCGCTTTGGCTTGGAGAGTGTGGCGTTGTCCTTTAGCACTCTTCAAAGCAACCCAATCTGCCGTCTAGAAAAGTGTCTTTTTTACAGTGTGGTTATACTGTAGATTAAATACAGGAGAAATTAGAGAAATGTTAGTTTAATGCAATGGTAAACTCCAAACCAAGCCTGGTATCTGTTAGCTGTTTAATGCCAGCAGAAGGCGAGACAGGTTAGACAGAGGGGTGAGATTTCCACATGGGAACTAAAGCAGGCAAATGACAATACAACAACCCCAGGACCAGGAGGAGGAGCCTTCCCAGTAGGAAGAGCACAGACAAGCATCAGTAGCAGCAAAGATTATAATGCTCTCTTGCATAAATCTCATATAGTAGCTCATGTATTTCTTAATTATAAACCCATTTAATGGCATACCTGATGGTGACAAGTACTTTTCAAAACTGCTGTCTCTGAAATGATCACAACCATTCTGTGAAACTCTCCCATAATCTTAATTAAGCTTCAGGAAGTTAGGGCCTGGCATGGTTCACGTCTTCCCTTGGAATGTGGCATTATACCTAAGGTCAGTAATAACCAGGCAGAGTATACAGCCTGGATACAGCATGCCCCTCCGCTAACATCAGCCACCAGCTGTAAATTAGTTTTTCTTACTTTTTTCTTCTATCTTTGTGGGCCTCATATAATTAAGACATAATAAGCTGGCATTTACTTAATAGCTGTGGGAGCAAGGTGCGCAGCGGCAGAAGGGGAAGCTTGGCTGATAGGGGCAGGGGAGTGGTCCTGGCATCACCAGCGCTTTGCTGGTTCCCAGCTTTCGGCTCCAGTGACAGGGATGCACGGGGAGGCTTATTTGCAGTAGTGGCACTGATGGAGGATTCCCCCTCCCAGACAACAATTCGGTGTGCCTGTTGCCTCTGTAGAGAAGGGTGTCCCTTCATGGTATGCTTGTTGAGCTGCTGCAACAGGGCAGGCCACAGGCATTTTACATCGAAGAAATCAAAGGGGGCACTAACCTCCACTCTAACCCATCACACAGCTATTTGTTCCTCCTGCCTCCTCTTGCCAGAGTATTAGTGGGGCCACACAGTGAAGGCGATCTGGATTAATCTTTAAGCAAAGAGAATAAAATTATATATAGCCCTAATGTACTTTTAACCCAGACCATATGCCCTGTGGTTACAAAAAAAACCCTGTTCTCTCAACATTACTGGTAGTGGCAAGTACAAGTGCTGATAGAGAAGACAGGATCACAGCTTTCTCCAGCAGCACCCAGACACACTGAAACTTGGCTTGCACCGCACATCTGCAGACAGCAGGCTTACAGACACTTCAAATTCCCACCGAGGTGGAGAAAGCACAGCAAGAGGGCTGTGGGGCTGCCCAGGCAAAGCAAGCTAGGAATGTGATGGAAATACTGATGGGAGGCAGGGTAAGAAGCATTTGCCAATTTTGGTTACCCTCTGTTTACAACATAGCCTCTGTGTCAGGCTAGGCTACTGTAGACCTCATAGGTGACTGCATCATGGAACAGCTGAGTAAGGGAACTATAGAAAGGTCACTCACCACAAAGGAGAAGGACAATAGTCAGATTGAGGAAGATAGCATAATCTTTATTATGGTTTTTATATTAACTTGCTAAACTGGCCAAGAGAGTTGAGGAACAACTTGCTGAGAACACAGAAACCGGAATATATGATCGTGGAGTGCCAGCAACATTGAAATAAATTAATAAAAAACTGAAGCTCTCTGACATGAGCACTGATACAAAGAAGTCAATGGAGGTTCCCACACCAAAGCTTCTTCCTTCAGGAGAAAAGAGGCCTTAATAATTAAGACATAACATGTTAAGTATGTTCTTTACTGAAGAAGCAGTGAAGGCTGAAGTGTCTGAACAAGCCACATTCTTCCTCTTCCAGAAGCACAACCCACCGACCAAATCAGCATCTGTGAATGAACTGGTATTCAGCCCCTGCATCACAAAGGATCTTGCACTGCTGAGAAAACAGGTATTTACCCAACTGCCAAAATCAGATGGGTGAGAAAAATGGAAGGGGAAATGGAGGAGGAGGAGGAACCCAAATTGCAGCAGGCTAGCTTGGCTACCTGCTGTGCCAGGCTAGCAAATGGACCAGTGCTGTAGGAAGAAGAAATGAAACGGAACAAAATTGTGTTTATTGAGGAAATCAGGCTTTCCAGGTCTAATAGCATACTTTGAGGAACCAATGAGAATGCACAATAATCCTCTTTGTTACAAACATGGATTTCCAGAAGAAAACAAAAAAGTCAAACTGTTAGAGGGTTAGAGTATAAAAGGACCATTATAGATCTCTCTTTTAACCACTTAGTAAGGACAGAAATAAGTTGTTATCTCTCCAGGGTGGAGGGAAGTTGGTAGATGGCATCTGAACTCCTGACTCCCAAGATACTGTTCTGCTTGGAGAAAGGTACAGTGATTAAGGTTTTGTTGATATGGAATTATTGAAGATAGCCAGAAGTTTATAGTTGGAGAGGACAGGCAGGAAGATTTAACTATTCCAGTGGGTAGAAATGACAGGTAAAGGTTAATGTCAATAGCACAAAGTAAGATATGTAGGGAGAGAAACAACCCCAGCCCCATGTTCCAGGTATATCCCCTTAACACTATCAGTGGCAACTTTTATATAACTGGAGTATCATGTGCTTCACAAATATCAAGTCAGTGCTCCTTGAATGACAAAGAAAAAAAGTTACAATTACTCTGAAAGCAGGTAGAAACAAATATCACCATACTGTCTCCATGGCTTTACTGACACATACTCGGAACTCCTTTGCACAGAAAGGGGATTAATATAGAGGAGACCAAGAAAGGTAATCGGAATATTAACAACCTTGGCAAGAACCTTTCCAATCCCAGAAGGACTTACAGTGGGGAAAAGGATGAGAAATATGAAGTTATGAATACTGTTGAAAAGGTGAGTGATAAAGTACTACCCTGTTCCTACAGGGCACATCCATACTGCTGATCAGGCAGTGAGTGGAAGACTAAAGAAACGGTTTCTCCGTGCCACAGTTCAGCTCTGACAGTTAGCTACTCTAAATATTAGATCCTAAGAATAGAAATGCATTCAGAAATGGTTTAGACAAAGCCCTGGCATAAAGGTCAAACAACAACTACTAAAATAATGATATAAATGTACAAAAATATACACATATTCCATTGCATATACAAAATCTTTGCTACCAGTTTATCAGAAAATATTAGATTAGACAAGACATTGAGCTGAAGGCACCCTTGCGTTCTCTAGAAAGTATCATTTACTCCTGCGTGCCAGTCCTTCCTGCTTTCAGAATCCTGTGCACGCAGAGCATCTACATCTAATCTAGCATGAAGAGAAACCAGTCCTAAACTACACATGTGCATGCTCACACGTACACGCACCAAGCATTCTCCATTGCAGGCCAGGCCAAAACTCAGACATAGGCACACATGGCCCAGGAAGTTAATTCTAAGCCTAGACCAAAGGTTCACATAATCATAGCTCACTCTAATCTAGTTTCTCAGGGCTACATATACAAATACTCTTTATTGAAAAGTATCAATAGTCTAAAATAGTGCATCCAATTTCTCAATTTTCACACTCATCCTCTTGGTCTAAGGACCACACACCAATGCTAATTCAGCACGCACAAACATCCTTCTGCTTCTGCAGAAAACTCAAGTCATTCAAACAGACAAACAAAACATCAATGCAGCAGGCGGAACTAGTCCATTAGCTTTCTTGTGCCAGCTCATATAGTCTCTTAACCCTTGAATAAGGACCAATAGTGTCATCAAAAACAAAGTCCCACAGAACTCGAATCCAGGACAGGTGATGTGGGAGGTTATCGTAATATTCTGCTGCAATCTTCTTCACCTGGAAGAAGAAGAGAGAGAACGTGCTGTTTAGCTGCATGGCGTGGGGTGTGTTTCAGTCTTCACGTTCAGATCTGATAGCACAGCCATAACCTGAAGTTACTTGTTACCGCTTGTGAGCTTCTGAAGTTCAGCCAAATGAGATGTACTTAAATACATTTAGATACTTCTTCGCAGATTCCTGATGTAAGTTTTGCCTCACAATGTCAGAATTTGAAACACAATGGATCACTGCCTTCAGTCAAAACTATTTTCTCTCATTTTGGAGGTGGAGGGATCTCCACAAGGAGATGACTAATTCTCCTCATAAATTGCCAAGGCATCAATTTACTGTATTTAAAGCCCTGTTTGACACTCATACTACTCATCTTTCGAGGATTCCAGTTAGAGAAATAACAATTGAGAAAATGCCAGACACAACCTTGCCTACACTTAATTTTCTTTCCTCCATTCTGCTACCATGATGCAAATCTGAGTTGGGTTTTTCCAGCAGGCAGAGGCAATTGCAGGGGCTGTCAGTTCTCCTCAGTCTGGTGTTAAAAATGCTGCAAGATTTATTAGTAGATCACAACCCTAATAAAATTTCAGCCCTGTTACAAATCCCCTCCCCAAGTCTTAAGGCTGTTGCCATCAAAGAAGCACTGTGCCTCACTGGGGGTGGCACTTGTACTGGGAGTAAGGCCAGAACCAGGGGACAAAGAGGTTTCAATCCTGGGATGTTGAGGTGACTATGAGGATTCCCAAGTTATCCATAGTCCCTGCTCCAGCTAGATGCTCTGCTTTTTGAACACACTTATGAACCAGCAGAGTCTGGTAACTATAGTACGCTTGCATATTTTTATTACGGCTCCACCTCCTAGACAAACAAGGCTCTATTCTAGAGTAGTTTGTCTTGCTGGACAGCATGACTTCTCTCTTTAAAAACCCTGCAGAATTTTAAAGCCAGCTATGCTAAGCACAGTACAGACTTCCAGTGAAGAGCAGAAGGGTTACATAGAAATTGTCTCTGGGAGGAGAGTTTCATCAGCATCCAAGGTGTAACAGTGAAATCTTAACACAGCATTCTGACTGTGAAAAGGTAAGAATCCCAACGACAGTTAAATTATAAGCCACTAAGGCTCACTGCTAGTTATCTCGTTAATTCAGTTTCCTAGCAGATACTTCCCTGTGAGGTAGTTTGGACAATGTACAAGTTTCATTAAGAACTTTCACCTCTGTACCTCAGCGCCTATGCACTTCTTGTGCTCATGGTGTGGTAGTGCTGTGTTGGAGGTGGAAGACTCAGTTCAGGTCTAATTGCATTCAGCCTTTCATTGAATACCACTGACTTACTAATAATTCTCTATATCCTACTTTAAAGTGTTGGTCTGTACTTCAAATGTGGTTCATTTTCAACGGGATTCAGACAATATCAGCATTCCCCTTAGAGATATTTATTAATGACTAGAAGAAGAGTGATTTCCAGGCACCAGGTAAGATCTCTGGAGATGCAGATATAGTTCCCTGTGCTCCTCCTGTATCCACAGTCAAATAATTTAATCTGGGTTTTGTATCCTCCCTTTTCTCAGCTGGGTAATTGAAATAGCTGAAGGATGAGAGGGAGGACTATTTAGACAGTAAGGTCCCTTGAAAGCTACTAACGAAGCCTTATGCAGACACAAAGTGGGCCTCAGATACCCAACCCCAAAAGCTTCACTCTAGCTCTGACTTGGTCATTCCCTACTTACAGACCTTCCCTCCTACCTCCATTTTAGAAGTTCTGCCTGAATTTTGACTTGCAACAGTAACTCAGCCCCTATCTATGCTAGCCAAGTTCATACGGTAAGTCTACCATTGCCCTCTTCTCCAGAAACTCCATCTTTTTCTTGTCCACAGAGACAGTAGTCTGAACCAGACATGTTTTCTCAGCTAGTTACGTTATTCTGCAGAGCTTTCTGATCATGTTAGACTCTTAAGCACTACGAGGGCTTCAGAAAGTCTCTCTGTATTGCCACTTGCACATGAAAGTGGAAGGTTGGAGGTTCATAGAAACAAGTTCAGCTCCTATAAACTATGTCTCAGGCAGTAGCTGTGCCCTCTGGCACCAAAGGCTAACTTAAAATGACCCTAGTGACAAAGTAGGAAAAAATGGCCAAGGAAAGAGGCCAATAAACAGCCTATGTTCAACCCAATAGTTTCTGCAGTTTCAGCAAACATGAGTAGCAGTGTAGTCTGGGCATAGTGCTGAAGAGCTCAGGCAGACACAACATGCAGGTCTGGAAAATTGCACTTAAATATATTCCATACATATATTCTGGAGATGTATTACAGATTTAAAACAGACACTTAGAATACAAGTATTATTTGATAATTAAGATGATTAAGCAAAATACCCAGTAGTGAATTTTGAAGATCATACACACCATATTCTGGAATCAGGCAGTCTAGTCATGTCTGGCAAGCTGCTTGCCACCATCAGGTGATGGAGGAGTTGCTTGTTCACCAAGCTTATCCATTTAGCACCTTCCTGCAGAGTACAGTGGCAACTTGTTCTGAGTGAGAAGATCAGTATGGAAACCACAAGAGATGACCAGGGGCTTGCACTGGACTGGGTTACCCTGCTGCAGGACAGGGACTCACACCTACATGAATTAGTTCTTTGCTCTGCTTGGGTTTGTGCTCAGCAGCACCTTGTGCAGGAAGGCAGGCAGCCCTTGCACCATTGGCAAGGTCCCTGTGCTCTGGGCAGGACAACTGTATGAGATGTACAGAAACAATGGAAGGGGGAAGGTAAACTAAAATATTTGTGACAAAGGAAGGGGGAAAGGGGAAAATTTAATGAATGCGGTTAGATGGAGAACTTCTGAAGGCTTTTCTTATGGAAAATACAAGGAAGCTTGTTAGGTACAGGTTCCCATTTCGCTATCACATGGCAGGAAATCATTTAAAAAGTGGTTTCTTTTACAATGGATCTATGTAGAAGTTTCCCATTAAAAACACCTCATCTATTGTAATTTCTTTCAGCATCTCCATATGTAAAACAAAATTATCTCCTCCTTACCTACCAGAAAATCTAGAGGGTGGGAGGGCAGAAAGTAATTTGATTTTAATGCAAATTCCCTTTTAAATACAGCAATAAACTACATCTCATAGGTACGTTTGAGGCCAGAAGAGTCATCCTCTAACTTGCATCCTGGATGCAGTACAAAACCTCTGGATGGCAGTTTCCAGGTAGCAAGTTTTGCAGCCAGATCATAGATCATCTCAAAGAAGAAGGCCCTGTGACAAAGTATTCCTAAATCCTGTTCCTGCCTTCCCCCTCAAGCTCTCCATATTACGCTTGGAGATTATTTGATTCAGTTCCTCCCTCCCTTCCTCCTTACAGATCTCAATTGTAAGTTTTAACTCATCGCTAGTTTGTGAATAGAAGGTATCGTGGAAGGATAACAAGAGATTGCAAAGTCTGCAAGAAGGTTATTAGGTATTTGGCACCTGGTATACTGAGGTTTTTCTTCATGATGATCAAGGTGTTAGGCTAGAAATCACATTTTTAGACTGAAACGTTGCTATTGGTTTTGTGCTTGTAGAGCACAGCAACAGGATCCCGATCCTACTCCACTGTATCTGATAGGTGAAAAAGTTAAATGCAACCTAATATTTCACCATAACTGCTCTAGACCCATTGTCCTAGGAGTATACAGAATATAAAGATCCTTATGACAAGCAGCTGATAAATAATGTTTAGAATGATAGAAGGCATATTACAGAAGTTCCCTCTATAGTCCTTGACCAGGGAGGAGCACTCAAGCTAGTCCTCCTGGCCATCATAGGGTTAATGAAATCTGCAATTCAAAACCAACACATCTACCATGTCTTCCAGTCTTGTCTGTCTAATAAATCTGGTTTCATACCATGTCTTTTCCTTTTCCCACAAGCTTAATGAGTAACTAGTTTGCCTCTGGTAACACTACAGTTTTTATTGAAGTTTGTAGGAAGAGTACTGAATTCTGCCTCCTTCTCCTGTCCCTGCTCTCCATAAGTATATTCAATCCTTCAGATAATGAAGAGAGACTCTTTTTACTCATTTGGTAAATAATGCAATATTTTATAGTTGTAAGGCTTCATGCAAAGACTAATCTAGTCCTAAGTCTATAGTGTTTTTTTTAGAGCAGATCCTTCATTATAATGTTAAATTTCATTCTCTCTTGTGTAATCTCTCATTACACTAGTGGGGCAAGTTCTTACTGCACACTCATGTCACTCATCTTTAATATCTATAGGCTTACAGCACAGCCTATTTTTTCCTCTTTCAAATATGTCACGCTCCTAGGGTAAAGGTCTTTCCAGTGGCAAACACATTACTCACAACATTCTGAATGACACACCTGTAGCAAAGGACAAAGCTGAATTTACTTTTCTGATAAGCAAGTTGAAGAGCCAGTAACTTTCCAAGACTAAGATCCAGTTATTCTATGATCCTATTTCTCCCTTCCTCTCAATAATGCAGGAACCAAATAAAGATCTTTATTCTACTTTCTAATTGCCAATAATTAAAACCAAAAATAGATATACCGAGAGGTCATCCATGTTACACAATTCAACTACTAGAAGTTCAAGTGCCTAAGAGACTAGATCTGAAAAATCTAGACCTTTGTTGAGTGAAGAATTTGCTGTGAGGTTAAGCAGGAAAACAATGGGAGGTTTCTACCCCTGCCTGTTATGAAGTTCAAACTTTAAAGCTATCCAGAAAGGATCTGTCCCCTTACATTCTTCCACCAAAGAGGCGGTGAATTTTTCTTCTCAATTTGCAGAAAAGAAAAACCAACTTGTTTTAACGGACAGAGGATTTTCTACAGTAACTGTTTTGCCAAAGGATTTTCACTTCCTTACAGATTTTCGCTTGCAATTGACCACTCAAAGACTCAAAGTTTTCCACGCAGGACAAGCCTGACATCTCCTCCACCAGGAGTGCAAGCCTCAGTTGTCCAAGAGCTAGAAGCGCATGAACACAAGCCCATGAAACTCAACTAATAACTCTATCCTCTTTACACAGAAGGGCAGACACTTCCAGCTGCTGCACTGCCTCAAGGAATTAGGCTGAACTATTTGTGGCATGGGTGGGGAAGAACTTTTCAGGTCTTAGTTAGGTCTGAAGCAACAGTCCCAGCAAGTTCAATTAGTCACTCACCTCCCTTCTGTAAGATGCAGAGCTAACCCTCTTCTCTTCTTCTATTTACTTTCAGTAATCTACATATCTAAGCCTATCTAACAAGTTTGAACATTCAAAACTATAGTTAAGCTTATGCACTCCCCAGCTGAGCTATCAGGTGTATCAGCAATGGGAGTGCCTGACAGGAGAATTTCACATGTGAACGTGGGCTGCTTTACCAGTTGCTCCGACCCCCGCCAGGAACGGCCAGCCTCTCCAGAACTGACTTCCAGCAGTAAAGGAGGTGTGTTAAACCTGAACTGCAGGCGATATAGAGGCTCCTCACACACTAAGAATATCTCCTCTTGTTTTGAATCTCGTCTTGGACAGTGTTTCTGTGATGAGGAACATTAGCCCATACAGCAGAGTTTGCTTGGATATACCATCAAAAAAGCTGTACATGTTATGCAGCAGTGGGGAGGTCATAGCTCCTGAACCTCAGACTCCTCAGCTCTACCTCCACCTCATGAGGACGTTGCAGTAGCAGCCCCCCAACTTTGCATCAGATCAGAGACAGAAGATGTTTCCTTCCTGCTATGCCAGAGGATTTGTGTGTAGGAGTAATACTTCGAAGTCACGTACCTCTAACACTGTGAGCACCTGATGAGGAACCCTTGTATTAAAACCCAGAAAAGGAGCTACATACCTGGAGGGAGATTGAAAACCATTCCTAGACACCTGGGCTTTGCAAATTTGATTCCCACAACTGATAATATGTAAACAAAAAGGGGCTTGACTTTCAAAAGAGGAAAGCCACAGCACTTTCCCAATGATAGATGTATCCTCAGTTTCTGTGGGTGGGGCAGCAGAGCTAAAACAAGTCATGTAGAGTGGGACTTTATTTTCTACTGCTATTTGTGCCAGGTTGGAACATGCCCTGATACAGATGTCATCTCAGAAATAGAAAGGCTTTTGTTTGATGTCAATCAAGCAATATAGTTAACAGATTGATCATTAGACAAATTTCAAGTAGTAATTGCCACCTGCCTCAGTTTAAATGGGTCTTTAAAGTTTCAAAGAGATGGAACCCGGTGACAGAGGGAAGGAAATGGAGAAATTTAGAGCATTGTTGGAGGTTTTTATTATGCAAAAAGTATTCCTCAAGCCCTCTGAAGCTCAGATGTTCCTGTTTCCATCAAATAAGTTAAATATTACAGCAGTTTGGCAGTCATTTCTCTCAATCTCCTGCCTAAAATTAAAGAATTAGAAACAAATCCAAAAATCTTTCTTCTTTTATCCTTTTTTTTTTTAAAAAAAAAAAATAATGATCCACTGCTATGATGGGGAGTGATTTCTCTGGGACAGTTTACCAGCTCTTAGTAAAAGAAAATTCAGTTGTGCTCATGCTATACTTACCATTGGCAATCTGCATCCAGGAATGCTGGGGAAGTCATGATGCTCCATGTGGTACCCTACATTAAAGGTGAGCCAGTTCAGAGGTCCATAGTAAGAGTATGTTTCATACCCTTTTAAGAACATGTAGTGTTCTGCTATGAAGTGCCCAGAAATGGGATGTACACCCATGCAGAGAATTGTACCTGCTATTAAGTAAATAATAGGTTTGAGCCCCCAGAGGTAGTAAATTATAAGGTCTATAGAAAACTGGACAAGAGCGTTAAAAATTTCCATCCGTGTAATTGTTTTGGGATTCACATACAGTGGTCTCAGACTGTAGAAGAGAGGTTGGAGGAAAAGCCAAAGCAGTTTCCGAAGTGGTGTGCAGAAGAACCAGCCTTCAAAGTCTGTGGGAATGTCCACATCCAGGCTGTCCCCACCAAGGTACCGATGATGGTCAATATGGTATTTCTTGAAGGAAGCAGAATATGGAATGCCAATTGGCAAGTTGGCAAAGACTGCAAACCATCGGTTCCACTTGGTCTGTTTGTTCCCAAAGGCAACGTTGTGTGAAATATCATGGATGGCTAGGGTCAGCGAATGGTTGATACAACCCCCAAAAGCATAAGCCCAGAAGAAAATCCATTTCCAGGATAAGTCTTTCATCAGGTAGCATGCTAGAAACTGCATGAAAACCATTCCAGATACGATCCACTTTAAATGTGGATCTGGTCCCATCAGAGTCTTGATTTCTGGATACTTTGCTAAAGTGAAAAATGCAGAGAAAAATCTCATTAGATCACAGTTAGGTAATCATAATCACCACTGGGACTCTATTTTTAACACCCTATGTTTGAGCCCCTATTTCTATAAAACGGCAATTCCAAAGTAGGGTTGCCACTACAATGAAAGCTTTACTGACATATGGGCTGCATTCCCACTTCCAGCATCATGACTAATTGTGATTGATATTGATAGATTTAGATATATATAGACATATTAAAAAAAATTACCCTGATAAATATGTGGCATCATGTGCCTTTACAATGATGAGTATTGCTTCACAATGATGAGTATTAGTATGCCAAAACCCATCAGATTTAAGCTCTAAGAAGCACCTTCTGCCAAGTTTTTAATTTCTTCTTTTTTATTTTGCCCAGTCTAGATGCTATTTTCCACAAAAGGGATACAACTGCCTTCTTTGTAGCCCTTTTCACACTGTCGCTTTGGACATACTAGCAGAGGAAAGAGGGCTGAGCAACAGGCTCACCAGGTTTTGCTCTGTGGTTAGATGACAAATGTAGCATTAAAAAATAATTCCTAAGTATTTGAGTGTTCGCCAGTGCTTACAACACATACAACTCTGCACATAGTAACATCACAAGACAGTCAGTAATATTAGGAATTTGTAAGACACAGAAATTCTTTTTCCAGTTCCCATTCGTTAGCCTTTTCCCAACTCACATACTAAAACCAGGCATGAAAGTCACAAAGATAATCACACAAGAGTTTCATGCAGCCTCATAAATACTGCAGTACAGCATCAGAGAGACATGGGCTGGGCTAGCCAGGTCTGACTTGTGTCAGGCCAGGACCAACTTCCTCATCTTTGGTTCTACTGGCCATTCTTTCATCCTTTTAAGAAAAAGGAAATACATAGAAGTACATCTTACCTCCTAGTTGGTGTTCATTGTTTCATGTCTCTTCTTTACAAACCCACACTTCTGACTTCCAGTAATAACTTGCATATTAATTTTTCCACTGTTTTATGGGTTTTACCCATCTACTGGCCTCCGTCCTTTAACTCTTTCTCTGCATTTCTCAATAATTACAGCTTACGCAGATAAGACTGGAGGACAAGTCACTCATTCTGAACCCTGAGGTTACACAGTGTGTCCCTGTAAGTCTGATAGGCCCATTTTATGAATAGAAAAGTAAATATCACCTGACTATCACAGTATGATACCAATGCAATAAAATCAGATTATAATGATGTGCATCTATGCAGCTGTATATACTATAAACAAATGCTCGTGTCAATGCACATAATTTCATGTGACCTTGCAAGCAGTGGCAGGTACTGAGTGCAGGATGCAGTGAAGGGTTTTTTATAGGGGTGAACCCTGAGAAGTTTGCAGAAGTTCAGAAAGATGAAGCACTACTTAAGGAAGCAGGTTGATGTGGCCATGCTCTGCAAGCATTTCAACAGCTTTTGAGCCCGTTGGCCAACTTCAGCCCAGCTTGACACAGGCTAGAGACAATAAAGATTAGACAAGTGCTGTGGAGGGTGGTGAGAAAAGAGATTCTTAATTCTTCCTCTTGTGAGGACAAGTGGGCAAAAATCACCATGAAAAGTATTCATGCAAGAGAGATTTCCTAAGTGGTGGGAAAGTTCTAGTGAGAGTTCATATCTTTCTAAAGTCAGCCAAACTTTTTGATAAAAGTTTATGGAAAGCCCAGTGTTTTTTGTTTTGCTGTTTTGGGTTTGTCCTTGTTTTCACAGTTTTTGAAATTATATACCTGATATAGTGACCTAGTCAGAAAATCTGTTACAGAAATACAATTTTATTTAGCTTAATGTCCTGCTTAGGGACATCTGTCCAAAACCCAGAAAGCCCTTTAATAAATCAAGCCACATTTTCAGTCATGCAGTTGGTAGAGATAAGTTACTGCAGTCACCAGGAGAGATGAAAAAATGTAAACCAACCAAATCTGTTCCTCAGCCTGATCAAATTGAGACCACCTTTACCAGAAAAAAAAGTTTTAATAGGATAGGAAAATATCTAAGAGATGCTTTATACTGTAGTTTGAGAACAGTGAAGGGGTTTGACCTATTTCTTTTTGTGGGAGCTAACAAGGATTGCAGATTGCATTTAAGAGGTTTCAGGGTAGTAACTGCCAACCAGCAGCAACAGTGTCTGCAAGCAGCAATGCAGGTAGGTTGCATTTATCACATATGACAGCTATTAAGTAACTCACTAGGGTTTAATATTAAATTCAACACATGATTAACTCCTCTCCAACAGTAGATTTTTGCATACTAGTTAAACCACTGTACTATGTCTGTTTATCATTAATGCTCATAAAGCCTTCCCATTTCCAGGGCATAGAGAAACCTCAGGGAGGCTGAGGGGCCCATTGGAGGCTGGAAGCCCCGCTGGTGGAGTAGCCAGAGACCTTTTGGTTCAGGAGCGCTTCACGTGCAAAATGTTGAATGCTGACCCTTTCAAAACTTAAGGCCAAGCACTCTTCAGAGACACATTTAATCTTAGATTAAGTGATCCTGATGACTGCAGTTTATATAGAATGTGCTGACACAACAACGTGACAACATAAATATGTATATCCTTTTTCTCTCGTGTTCATGCCCTGCGGTTAGCTGAAGGAATGCTAGTAAGGCAAGATAGAGCACTTACAGTTGAAAAACCTGGACAACCCTGTAAGACTGCTGTGACAAGTGTCTGCAGGTTCTGCACAAACCAGACATCAGCCATCTGCACATCCCAAAGGCAACAGAGAATCAGAGATGGGGCTACTGTGCAGCGCTGAACCATGAGCCATAAAGGACTATCAGACCTGTGGCAGCCACGCAATAAAGACTACCTTCATTTCCTACACATTGCACTTCAAGAAGTAAATAGACACCTACTCTCCACTCTCGAGACTGCTAGAGTTTCACACTGTGAGGCATCTGAGCACAGATTTTCATCATGCTGCTCTTTCCTGAATTGCTTCCATTTTGGTTTCCCTGAACATTTTTCCATTATAAAAATGATGACCTTCTATATGGCCAGAGTCCATTGCTTCCCAACACGCACTGGGTCAGGGCTAATAAATGATGATGGGCATAAAATGTAATCTATAGTGAGCTCTTCATTATGCACAATCATGGCATAGAGGGGGCACAGGAATAGGAGGAAAAAAAAAAAAAAAAAAAATCATTCAGAGCTTCTAGATGGGGGGGAATGGATGGACAGACACCCACAAAGTCACGTGACCATTGTGACCACACAGGACCAGGATTTGCCCTTTATGGAGTCCAACAGGACCAGGACCGCTCCAGCTACTCCCGTGTCTCCACAGCACATTCTCCAGCCTACATCTTATTGAGAAATTCTCCTAGCTCAGCCTGGCAGACAGCTTATCCACATGTGCTGCTTCTAGCTGTCCAGCCTGAGCCATTGTACTGCCATTCGGAGGGTGGGGATACTGGTGGAGATATACAGCAGTGCAGAAGCATGACTTTTCTGTCTCCAAGCTCAGTACACCGCAAGAGCAGTGCAGGCACTTTATAATAACTCTGCCCAGCTGGCTTTATGGTCTCTACACCATAACCTCAGAGCAGCTGAAATCTGCACTACAATGCTGAAAGATGGCAATTCCCACACGTACAACAGTGTGGATGAAAGAACAGCTGTCAAGAGAGAACCAATGCTGCAAGTGTATCTTCAGAAGTGTTCAATTCTGTAACAACTCATTTACTGAATTAACATTTCATGGAGAGCACTCCACTGTTGTGCATAAGCATCAATCACCTTCATAGAGGCATTCCTCACTCTGAAACACTACTGACAAATTACTCTGATGACACATTTTTTTCCTTGATGCTCCTCTCTGGAGATCCAGGAGCATTCACCATAGCCCTACAGTGATCCTCAGGGTTGGAGTAACTGTCCCTGGAGAAACCATAAGTCACTAGGTCCTGGTGTTCCTCCTCAGGAGATACCAAATACCTTGTTCTGGACCCCCACTCGTCCTCTATTCCTGCTGACAATGTTCCTGAGATGACTCAGGAGGGACCCAGTTAGACCTCAGTGATGGCACCAGACAATTTCTCATTGATGTGACACCACATACTTATCACTTGCACGGTTTGGCATACATGGGATTTGGATGTGGGCAAGAGCAGGAGCCGTCCACAAACAGAGGCGATGGAAGTTTGAAGGAGCAGCAGCCCTGCCCACATCCATGAGAAGCCAATAGTAACAAGAGAGGAGATATTATTTCTTCATCTTCCTCTATTTTGACCACAGATGCAGCATACAGGTATAATCAAAGTGGAGATACTACTCAGTATAAAACTTCTAGAAGGCCTGTTAAAGAGAAGGGGGGAAAAAAAAAAAAAAAATCTCTGTAGTGCTCCTGTCATGGACTACACTCTATTGACTATGAGTCCCTCCTGGAATAAATAAGAGACACCAGGCACAGGATGTTAGCTTTACTACCCCATGTCCTGTGCTGGAGATGGTAGTTGTACCAAAAAAAAAAATAAAACCAAGTCAGTTTATGGACATGATTGTGTTTTACCTTTTAGCAGCTCAGCTCATGAACATGCTCATAGACAGCACAGCACACTTGAGTCCTCAGCACAGGAAGGACCTGGAGCTGTTGGAGCAGGTCCAGAGGAGGCCGCAAAATTGATCAGAGGGATGGAAAACCTCTCCTATGAGGAAAAGCTGAGAGAGTTGTGTTCAGCCTGGAGAAGAGAAGGCTTTGGGGAGACCATATTGCAGTCTTTCAGTACTTAAAGGGGGTTTACAAGAAACACGAGGACAGACTTTCTAGTAGGGCCTGTTGCAATAGGACAAGGGGTAATGGTTTTAAGCTAAAGGAGGGTAGATTTAGACTAGATATAAGGACAACATTTTTTACAATGAGGGTGGTTAAACACTGGAATGTGTTATCCAGAGAAGTGGTAGATGTCCCATCCCTGGAAGGGTTCAAGGCCAGGTTGGACGGGGCTCTGAGCAACCTGATCTAGTGGAAGATGTCCCTGCTCATTGCAGGGGGGTTAGACTAGGTGACCTTTAAAGATCTCTTCCAATCCAAACTATTCTGTGATTAATTCAAACCATACATGACCCAGGACACAGGTAGGACACACACAGAGAACGATGTGCATGGCAACAGCTTCTGGCTTTGCACTGTCTCCTACCCCCTCCAGCATGCAAGCTAATAAGAAACCTTTTTGGCCCAACTAACTACACTGGGGTTTTATATATCCACTGTGTAAGGACAAGGGTCTTAATCTTGTATTTGCCACCCACAAGCTGCTAAATTGCTTTGTGCTTGCTGGTCCAAGGGAGCTGGGTCACCCAGAAGTGGCCACCAGAGGCAAAGCACTGCAGTGGTGCCACACGGTCAGTCTCAGAGGTGGCTGGTGTCAGCACATCACTATAACAGCAGCTATGACCTGTTTGTTTACCCTCATTTATTAGCTGGGGCAGAGTAAAGGGATGTAGGAGTACTAGAAAGAAGGCTTCCACCGCCCTCTGAAACAAAAACCTGCAACGTGGAGTAAGCTGAAGCTTTCAGTTGCACTTAATACATTTTCAACAGATGACCACAAGCACATAAAGCAGTGACATTCTGCTCATGTGATTTATTTTATAGGTGATCCCCACAAGAATTGGCATGAGCGCTGAGATAGCAGCTGTACTGAATGTGCTTATCAGAGAACATGTACATCTGTGGCAGCACTGTGCCCACATACTACAGCATAAAGGGGGAAAAAAACTCATAGTTTCTTTGCCAGAAGTATAAGTAATTCAGAGCTTTGATTTAAGCTAAGGAAATATGCATCTTGCACATTTAAGTAGGTACAATTTATCAGAATTTTCATAAATGTGAGGTTTAAATAAGCAACAGAAGAGTCAGCTGGAAGAAATAGCAGACTAATCTCTAAATAACTGAGCAGAGATGGAAACTATTATACTCAAATCAGCTAAATGCTAAAATAAACTGGATTTTGGCCTTTTTATTTTGTTCTACCTCCCCCCACCCCACAGGCTAACATGTCAGCCTTTCTACAGGATAAAGCACATATAAAACACTTGCACCATCTCCAATCCAAAACAACTTGCTAAAGAACCAATTATAAAATTATTATTCTTGAATGTTAGATCATATTCTGATGCTCCTAGCCTACCCTGAGCGATACTGATTCAGCTCTTGTCCTCACCAGCAACAACTCCTTCCCTAAGGACCCTTTGAGACATGACATTTTCTGACCAACCAACAGCGATTTTATAAAGTTAGATCCAATCCACGGCACAAATAAGATCTCATTCCTTCCATGCCATAACACATTGCTCTTTGCTTGCATTTGGAAAACTGCAGGTGAAATGACCATTTATTGTGTGCTTATAGTGTCATTTTTGTATCTTCTCTCAAGACTGAAAGACTACCAACACTTCCCACTGTGCAAGACCATGGTTCTCCAAGTGTTTCAATCCAACAGGCCCTTACTCTTACTAAAGTAGAAATCTTATTTCTACTGGAAGTAGATATCCCCTCTACGTTATACCCTACATTGTGTCTCCTTCTAATAGCATGTTTATAACGATGCAGCAAGGCTAAGCAGATCCAGATAAAACATCTCTCTTCCATCTGGTTAGTTTTTAGCCAGGTCTTTCCCTAACACAGCTCACTGCAGAGTTACACAAATCTCAGTCCTGACACAAGACAGTAACAGGCTTTTCACAAACAAGAGAGTGCGAGAACAGCAGTGAAACAATTCAATTTCATAAACTAAAAAGCGTGAATAACATGTTCAGGAACATCAATAATGTGATCAGGGTCAAAGTGCCAGCTTGGCAAGAGATCTCCACTGTGACTTCGAAGCAGTTGGCACCTAGACAATACCAAGCAGAAGCTACATTTTAATACCTAGAGTCTAAGAGGAAGATACTACAAATAGGTAAGAGAGAAATTATCACCTCCCCCTTGTGCAAAACATTGATCTATTTGCTAGTATGATTACAGCAGTTAAGAATGACATCCCCAGTACATTCATCCAGTGCAACAGTGTCCTGCCATAAGCTAGCTTCCAGCCAGCCCGGCTGACACGCACAGCTCATAGCTCCGCTGCTCAACTGGCCCCGGGTGCCCAGAGCAGCTGTGGCTGCCCCCTCCCTGGAAGGGGTCAAGGCCAGGTTGGACGGGGCTTTGAGCAACGTGAGCTAGTGGAAGGTGTCCCTGCCCATGGCGTTATCATCCAAACATTGTCACCAACTGCGAAAGTCTTGTAGACACCTGGGCTACTAACTCTCAAGTCAGGAAACACAGTCTTGTGATGGATCTCTCAGTTCCTCTACAGGAACATATTGGGGCAACTGCTGAAGGAATCACACCACTTATGTGGAAAGAAACTGCCTTACATGTTTGTCAGTTTGCCCATATTCTTTTCCTAATGGATAATTTCAGTTTGCATTTAAATCCAAGTAGCCATGTCTGAGAGACCAACATTTCAAAAAGCTGCAGCCTAAACAGAAAACAATCAAGTTTCAGTGCTTAGCAACTCAATTATTAACCTATTGAGAGGAAAATACTTCCTTTACCAGCATGGAATGCTGTTCCCAAGGCACTGCTATATACAAAAATGTAAAACATGGATGTTTATAGATATTTGTTCATATGTATGTAAGATTCTTACTGTGCACTCCTGCTCAGTAGACACTAGACACTTTGGTAAGTACATACTCTAGATACCAGGGGTTTGCTGACCCTCAGGCTTTGAATAATACAGTGACGATCATTATAGCAATATCACAAGGGATATCACGATGGTTTCAAAATCATTTGGTAACATTTTGTTATTCACAAACTAGTTTCATGATCCATTCTGCCTTGTCAGACACAGGCACAGATTGTTCTGCCCACATCTTCCATGTCTCTCTTTCCATGCTGTATTTTTATATGTCCTTCCTTCTGCTCCCACAGCTGGGGCAGGGGACACCTTGATTCCAATTGTTCATTCTGAACCCAAGGAGAGTGGGGGCAAAACCTCTGCGAGTATTCAGTTGAAAGGTCCTAAAAAAGAGTTCGCTGCAGCAAGGGTAAGGCAGTCCAGCCCCTCCAGTACCTCCTTATAATACGACTTCATCATGGTTCGCAGTTCCCGCTCTATAGCAAGATCAGGAAAGCAAGAGATTAGCAAGGGGAGAGACCCACCATACGTACTCCTACTCAGAGTTCACCAAAACACAGTGCCCTTGACTGAAAGGATGAGTAGCATGATACCAAGAAGCATCATTTTATATAATGACACCATTTGACTCTTTACCATGATTACATAGTAAAATAATTATTATTTGCCTGGATATAATTCAGATCTGGACTGGGATATTCCATCACCACAACTATACTGGAAATGCGTTTGTAATTTAGATTAATCTTGGATTAATCTATTAGATTGTGGAGGAGTTAAGAAACTACATCTAAATATCATACACCTTGTAAGGCATCTCAGCCACAAGCTCCAGTGCCTTCCTTTATAAGAGATCTTCAAAAACTTTATCCTACTCATCAGAGGGAAGGAAAAAACCCAACCAAACAGCCCAAGTATAAACAGAGGGAAACCACACAGACTTATCTATTAATTAAATGTTGAAAATACATTTTCAGGAGGTACGCAACAGTATTCTCCAACAATTCTGAATTATTAGTTCTTCCCAGAAACTACCTTCAGAAAAGCCCAACCCCCCCAAACCAAAAGCAAAAACCTCCCAACCCCACACACTCCTGCCGGCAGTTAAACGCTGTGTGCGCAACGTGAAAATACAAGCGCGTACCTCACCCCCGACGAGCAGCAGGGACTTCCAGTTGCTCGGCACCCAACGCTCACCCACGCCCTCCTCTCTCCCACTGCACCGCCCAGACACGGGACCGCCGCCCGCCCAGCCCGGCCCGAGGTGCGGGGCGTGTGGGGGCTGTTCCCCGCGGTGCCCCCCCCGCCCCGCCCGGCCCCCCCCGCTGCGGCCGGACCCCGCTCCGCCGCCGGCCCCGCGCCGTCTCCCAGGCGAGAGCTGGGGAGAGCAGCATCCCCCCGGGGAAAGGACCCCCCCGAGCCCCCCCGGACCGCAGCCCCCGCTCCCCGCAGCCTGCCCAGCGCCCCGAGCGGCGCTCAGCGCAGACGGCGGGGGAGCCCGGCACGGAGCCCCCGCTCCGCCCGTCCGTCCGTCCGTCCCCCCGCGCCCAGGGGTGCAGTCCCACCCGGACGCTCGCTCCGACGGCCGCCGCTTCCGAACCCCTCGACGTACCCAGGATCTCCTTCCTGCGCTGCGTGTGGGGCTGCTCCGTGTAGACCCACTCGAAATCCTCGCGGGCGACGCGATTCCCCATGGCTGCCGGCTGCGCTCCGCGCGGCTCCGCGCTGCCCTTATAGCTGCGCGCCGGGCGGAGGGGCGGCTCCGCCCGCCTCCTGCCCCCGCCTCGCCGGCCGCCCCTCGCCTCCCGCGGGCACCGAGGCTGCTCCGCGACGGAGTGGCCGCGGGGGGAAGCTGCGCGGCTCGGCTCGCGTGTGCGTGGGGCTGGGGGAGCCGCAGAGCCCCCCCCTCGGGCGTGCAAGGAGGAGCCGGGGGGAGAAAGGGTTGGCTCTGGGGCAGGAGAGGGCCGACCACGTTTCGCCTTGCTGTTAGGGGCCTCGGAGGCAGCCGAGCGATCTGTGTGGGGCGGGCGGTGGTTTGCAGGGCGGCAGGGTCCCCGTCGTGCCGCTGCCACCACCGTGGGGCCCACCGGGGCTCAGCACAGCCACTGCAGCCATCCCCTCCGGGGACGGCCTCTGGGCGCAGGGGGTCACCAGCGCTCCAGGCTGGTCCCCAGACACCTCCAGACAAAGCTTTTGGAAAGCAAAGGTAGTCCGAACACGATAAATCCAGTGGCACAGCCCTAAGCAGAATGTGACTTCAGGCAAAGCCCAGTGACGTGAGCTCCTCTCCAGGGGTGGAAGAGCTGGGATGGCACGAAGATGACCAATGCCTGACACCCGTTTCCTTTCTGCTCTGACAAATCCCGCCTGAGCTTTCCCGGCAGCATCCAGCCCGTGGCTGGGTCACACTTGGATCCTGGGAGCCTGCAGCCCATTTCCCAGGCCCAGTACCACCTCCACTGAAGTAGCAGGAAACCACACTGCTCCCTTGGTAACAAAGCCAGGCAAAGGACTTGCCAACCCTAAAGCTAAGGTGACCTTGCTAACCTCTTTAGCCTCTCTGATTCACAGGGAGAGGAGTTGCACGTGTTACATGGTGATGTTTCTCCACACACACAAGCTAAAATTAAAGTGCTGCTCTTGTTCCCACTATGTTCTTTTGCAAGCCCATACCTGATCCACTGTCCCTCTTCAGTGTTCACTATCCCAGTTATTAGTCCTTCCACTGACAACGTCCCATTTGGATCACCTCCCGACTCAGAAGACAATTTTGTTTCATTCTGTTTCAATATGAATCTCTCCAGCTCCCTCCACACCCTCTTACCCTCAAGAACACCTATACCAGTTGGAAGTTAAAAGGGGCAAAAAAGCAGCCTTGCAAATGTGAAAAGTAAATATTTTTCAGCAATAATTTTTGCCTGCAAACATCGGCAATACTATCACCTCTTACTTTAGTCTAGTTTAACTATTTAAGATTTTTTTGGTAGCGCAGTTGTATGAAGTGATACAGGTTAAAAAACACCAGCCAAACAACCAACCCACAAACCTCAAACCCCGTCACCTGACTGCTAGAAAGCTCTAGGAAGTTTTTTTTGGTTTTGGGTTTTTTTTTTTTGACCCTGAAGTGGTCTAAATGTAAACCCTTGAATGCTTAAAGGTCCAGATCAGGTTGAGTGGAAGGAATATGGTATAAAGGTAAACAGCTTTACCCTGAGGAAGAGCAGGAGTTTAACCACTTTGCTTTTACAGGTCAGCTCTCTGCAAGTACAATGATTTCTTCACCATTGCTCCAGCACAAAGTTGATGTTCTCCATAAAGTTGCAGGGCCCAACCCAGTTAATAGACTGTTACCCCAAGTTAAGGTTATTACATGTTTCTATAAGGAATGAATTATTCAGAGAGCAGATGCATCAGTATCTCAGCCTAAACCTTTAATTGGCTCAAACATTTTGGCTTGTTGACAGTATCGGTGGAGAAGCCAAAGGCAATATGAACATGTTGACATGCTTCTGTCACTTCCTGCTCAGGAGTGCTCAAAGTGACTGGAAAAACAAATTAGTGGGGCAGTCCATGAAGTTGCAAAGAAAACAAATATGACTTCATCCCCAAAAGTTTATCCAATAGTCTAGTGCTATTGCATATGGTAAGTTACACATGGAAAGTTAAGTATCTCTTTTGCAGGCAACAGCATCGTCTTCACGTAGCTTATGACTACAGGCTCAACCCAACCACATGAGAAGAACAGAAAGCTTTTCTGTCTCCAGTGAGTTGACATCTCTTTCTGAGGATAGAATTTCATTCTTTATATTTCTATAAGCCAAACAAATTATAACAATTTAAAAGTAATTGTGGGTGCTAGACAAACAAGAAATGCCAGATTTAGAATGTCTTCTAGAATTGGCAGAAGTATTATCCAGTTCTGACCATTTGGCATCCTTAGTTTTATAGCACCCCAGTAAAGTGCAAACAGGCTTACAATCATTCACAAAGGAAAAGGCGGGGCGATTTTAATGTCACCTGGCAATAATAACCCTTTTAATGAATACTACAGTGACTGTGAACTCTACAGATTCACATACTCACTGCACTTCATGGCAATTCAAACATGCTTCATTTTGTCAGGTTCTCCCAGCTGTAGCCCTCTTTTCTTCAGCAACTTCCTATGCTTGTTCAGGATTTCTAATTATCAACAAGCCTAGCTAAGAGAAATTCCTGACATCGTGCCCTGGCTTTGAGTGAGTGGTGGGGATTTTGGTAGCAGGGGAGGGGGCTACAGTGATGGCCCCCTGTGAGAAGCTTCTTGAAGCTCCCCTGGCTCCAAGTCGGATTCACCTCTGCACCAGGGCTGAGCCAATTGGCTGCACCTCTGCAATAACGTATTTGAGGGACCTGGGAGGAGGGGTTGGAGCTGTGTGGAGGAGTTGTGACATCTATGTAAACACTGAGGTCACTGTAAGAACAGAGGAGGAAAGGGGAGGGGGGGAAGGTGCACTGGAGCAGAGACCCCCTGTATCCCATGGTGAGATGGCAGGGCTGTGCACCCCCCCACACACACACACACCTCCCATTGCCCATGGAGGTCTACAGTGGAGCAGATGCCGATCTGTGGTCTGTGGAGGACCCCACACCATCTCAGGTGGCTGTGCCCAAAGGAGGCTGGGACCCTCTGGGAGGAAGCAGTCCCCGCTGTTGCAGTTTAGCACTGGGGGGATTGTAACATTTGGGGGTGTTCCACACCAGATAAGCTAGGGAAACGCTGCAGCCCATGGGAGGGACTCGTTGGATAAAGTTTGTGGAAGACTGTCTCCTGTGAGAGGGAGACCTCGCTGGAGCAGGGGGAGAATGCCAGAAGTTCCCCCCATCCCCTGAGATGGAAGAAGCAGCAGCACTGACTGCATCCCCTTTCCCTGCCCGCTGTGCTGCTGGAGGGGGGAATAGGTAGAGATATCAGGAGCAGAGCTGAACCCAGGAAGAAGGGAGGGGTCGGAGAAAGTGTTTTCAAGATGCAGTAATACTTCTTACTGTCCTACTCTGTCTGTTAAGTGTTGTTGTTGTTAGTGACTGTATTAAATTTATGTTCATTTTTCTTCCCCCAATGAGCCTGTCTTTTGCCCATGACTGTAATGGGTGACTCATCCCTCCCTGTCCCTGTCCCTCTCTTGATCCCTGAGCCTTTTGCTTTATTTTCTCCTTATCAGTGCTGGGGGAAAAGGGGGAATTGAGGGACTGCATGGTGCTCAGGTGCCGTCTGAGCTCAAACCATGACACACACACAACAGGAGGAGCACAACTGCTGACTTTATACAGTGTGCCATCAGATATTTCATTTACATAGTTTTAAGTACACGTCACACTCACCTGCATCCAGCATCCCAGCTGGTGATTTCCAGGGTAAAAAAGACAAAAATCCTTTGCTCCACTGAGGGCAGGACCTACAATATGTAGCTCTGAAACAAGACACACTGGTCCTCTCCTCCAAACAGCCAGGCAGACTCACAGTTCCCTACCCAAAGGTGCCTTTCCACCAGCTGGCTTCCCAGCACGAGCGTGCTTCTGCTCCCCAACCCAGCTACTCCCCCCTTCCAGCTATTAACAGGCCGGGTGACACACGGAACGCAGCAGGAACACCGGCCCACGCTTCCCAGCGGTTAGTGCCAGCCTGAAGAGCAGGCTTGGTGTTTGAAGTATCTTCATTCTGCCTTAGCTCCTCTTCTTCCGATTTCTAGAGACTAATCTTTGTTAAAGGTGATATTCTGGAAGTAAAATAAAGTTGTTTGGCAATTTTATCTCTAAATAAGGTGTTTTCTCCTCTCAATAAAGAGCTCCATGTCCCATGACAGACTTGTATTTTCAGTTCCTGAGTTACTTGGTTTCTTCTCTGACTGTATAAACTGGACCTTTCTTCGTAGTTATTTTGATTACCTGAAGAAAACAGCTGTATATTCGCTTGTTTAGAAAACGTTTTGCAGTCATTTTTAATTGGGTGTCATGCTCTGATTTGATGTAACTAGTGACAAGGTTTACAATGTCATGTACTTTATGGAACAAAATGAAATTTTCATAGGCAGGATAGTTTGCAGATGAACCATGTCATCAACACCCATCCTCACTGAAGTTAGATCAGGGGAAATAATTTGACAGTAAGCCCTGCTTTCTCTTTTCCCCTCATAGCTGTGCTCGCCCTTCCCGGGTTCATTCAGGCTCTTTCCACTGCGTTAGCTCTGCGCCAGCGCTGTGAGTTGAACTGACAAAGAGAAGGTGCTGAGGAGCTTGTGCAACGGACTTTTCAGGGGAGAAAGACATTTTCCTTTCGTCAGTAGTTGGTTGCATGACGTGTAACCCACCCTTGACGCAAGATGGGGCTTTTCACGGCAGCCAGCACCACAGCCACGTTCACCCAGCGCTCAGCAAACCCCGCGGGACGGAGCCTGGCGACAGCGCCTCTGTCTGGGGGCTCCCAAAACGAAAAGCGAGGTTCAGAGAAATAAACAGCTCCCTCCGAGACCTGGGTTACCCCCGCTCCTTCGCTCTCAGCCCCACCGCGGGGCGAACGAGCCCTTCTGGGGCAGCGCCGGCGGGAGGCGCAGCCGGAGAAGCCACCCCAACCGGGCACCGCCACCCCGCGGGCCGTGGGCGCCCACGGCCCCCACGCCGCGCCCCGCTCCCGCTGCGGCCGCAGGGCGCCCCCCGCCGGCGCCGCGCCGCCCGCTCCACAGCG